TTCAAGGAAATTCAGCTATGCACCTGCAAGTCTTGTCATTGCTACAAAACAGAAATGAAAACAAACCAGAAGAAAATGTTTAATATTTTCATATCTAAATTTAAGGAAATACTTCCCATTGCAGCCCTTTTCGAACTGTATCATAAATTAAGAAATCAAGAAGACTGATATCAAGTAGAGGAATTTTCTGGTTATTTTTAGGAGAGTTACCCATGGGAAATAATCTGGAAAGCCAACTGTCTCCCTTCAGGTATTTTATTGGAATACTGAAACTAAATTCAATGTTACAAATGTCTTTTAAAAAGTGAAAAGTCACCACAGTAAGTTTTAGTCATGGAGACAGAAACTATTAATACAAGGTTAATTTTTATAGGTACTTCTAACTGTTCCACATACCATCCAGAGCCAAATTCTGCACTGGTATATATACATTAAAACTGAGCCATACCTGTATTACACCGCCATCAATAGGAGTAGAATTCCAGCACCATTTTTCTTACAGTAAATTCTCACAAAAGTGATACACTAATTGAATACTTAACAGTATTCAAAGGCAACAAATTAAAATGTTGTCAAACATAACACAGTGAAAGCAGTAAGCAAAACAGGAGACACCAATATCATGAAAATGTTCTACTTTAGCTATCTTCTTAGTAAAAATAAAACATGAGTCAAACTTCAGTTTCATTCTCTTTCCTTAGAGCAAATGAGTATTCCTGAATAACAGCACTAGTGTTTTTTGAACCCAGTGACACACGCATAATTATCCATAAGGTTCCATCCAAACTAGGAAGACACCACTCCTCAGATACATCCATATAACAAAGGAATAAAAAAAAAATATTTAAAAAATCTACTTTTCCTAAGAAAGAGGAAACCCTGAAGGAGAAGGGCTAGGCTGGCACAACTAGAACTAAATGTGTTTGCCCAATCATTCAGAGAGCAGACTTGCTGCGAAATGTTACATGTCAATTCCTGGCTACTGTAAAACACCACTGGAAGGGCAAGGCAAACATAAGTAGCACAGTGGAACACTTTGCTTCAAGAAATCTAATTTTGATTAAGTTGTTACAGACAAAATGCCTCCAAGCAAATTTTGGGGGGTTTCACACAACGTCATCTTTGCAAAAGCAGCACTAGGCAAAATTTAAGTATTGTATGCAAATGCAGTCTTTTTGGATCAATACGATTTCTTCATCCTTTGTTCTTTAGTTCCTACATTCATAAATCCAGAATCAGGTCATGCTAATATGAAAAAAGAATGCTAGAAAATAATGTTCACAGTGGCAGGTTTATTCTGGGACTCATGTACACTGGCAGAACTGTGAAACTCTCTGCAGTAACATGCTTCCAACTCTCCCACCTCCATCATGTTTTTCTCTCTTCTAAAATGTCAGTTTCTGTCTAGCCCGCAGCAAAGTATTCTGAACAGCTCCTACGTTTTTCACTCAAGAGCTCTAGTGACTCACTCCTGCTACCTGCCAAGCTGGGAGCTTGCAAACCCATTATCTTCCCATTCCCCCCTGGTCAGGCACTGGCACTGAATTGCAAAAGGACAAAAAGCCCCTTGCATGACTGGCTGCTCATCTGATCAGGGTTCAGGCAAAGGGCCTGCGAAGGGAAACAGTCTTGCTAGCATAAATAATTTTATTTTGGGACCTGTAAGGAGCCTGAGTGCTTTTTCCTGGTGGAGGATTGCTCCATCGGGTGGAAGGGAGCTCATGAAGGTGGAGATGTGTAGCCATTTAGGACAGTAATCAGCCATAAGCGATACATAAGCAAGAAAGAAAAAGCTGAGTAATTTAGGAAAACAAAAATTAAATAATGGAAATATTCCTATGGTCTTTATTAGCTTGTACTGTGCCATAAAGGAATGTATACGGACCACTGCTGCTTGCCTTAGCTAAAAGAACAAAGAATGGGGCAAAACTGATGCCTAAGGAGCACAGCTCTCTCACATTTCTGCAAACCAGCTTTTCCCAGCAGCTTTGCACAAGCAGACCTGGCTTTCAATAACAAAACTAGAAGTGCTAATTATCCATACTTCCCTAAGGCCATAAATAGCCATAAACTGCAGTGAGAAAGCACCAGCCACAGTTCCGTACCTGGAAACTGAGCTGCAAGACACAACAGAATCAGGATTACCCTGTGTAACTGGTGTTCCTGAACCTAGCTTCCTCTGCCAAGAGAGCCTCAAACAAATAATGCAAGATAAAGTGGACTGTTGTTAGAGGTACCTGTAAGTGGTCACTGGTACAAACAGCTTAGGTTCAAAGTTCCTCCTGCTTAAGGTTTTGTGATTTGCATCACACTGAACAAAGAAAAATAAAATTTCACAGAATCATAGAATGGTTAGAGTTGGACGCGACCTTAAAGATGATCTGGTTTATTCTTATTTAATGCTTTTTGGATTCTCTGGGAAAGTGTATGTGAACTGGAAAAGAGTTCTGAAAGGAAAACTGATCACACACAGTTTTGTCATGTGCCAGACTCATCAGGAAGATGGGTTTCATGATTTGTACCTCAATACCCTCCTTCCTGCAAATTTTAAACCATAAGGAAAAGAAAGAGGTCAACAACTTGGTCATAGGAGGTGCAAGCTTTCCCTCAGTTTCATACTTCATGAGAAAATTTGTATTTATCACCCTCTGAAAAGTAGACTGCAAACTGTGGAAGAGCAAAGCACTATCAGTATATAGCTGTATTACAAGATCTAAAGATCTCAAACGTAGATGTAGACATACATATTCTCCCTGTGTGCACATTACAACTAGCACACTCTGCTCCCAAAGCTCTGAAATACAAAACAGAACACAGCAGAAGTTTTATAATTTTGGTTCCACAGATGGGAACTGAGCCATCTCAGAAGAGAGTTTGAAATAAAAAGCTGATGCATTCCACTACACAGGATCTGATCTCCCATCTCTTCTCTACCACATGCCTCAGGACAAACTGAACTTTGAGAATGACACTGAAAGTGAGGGAAAACTATTTTCTTTCCCAGCTCTGCTGCAATCTTCTTGTATGCTATTACCTCTAACAATAAAAAAAAACAATTAAAGTCATACAAGACCCAGATAACACCAATCAGCAATGTCATGAGAATTTAAAAGCAATTCAAGGAAACATCATAGAAAAGGAAGAGCACAATTTACTGTGGCTTTGAGGACAAAAGTAGAATTCTTTGCTGAAAAAACGTGCAAACTTCAGTGAGGATTCTGAATGCATAAGAAGAGAACATTCCCACTTCCACATAGTGATGAGCTAAGCATATACATATATATACATACAGAAAAATTAACTCCTTTGAAGACAGATAATTTGCTTTTAACAGTCTATCCAAAGATGTAGATAATATCTGCCTGGCTCCAAGAGACCAGGATTTTAAAAAGCATGCATAATCTGATACAAGGTATGTCATCCACCAGTGATTACTGAAAAAAATGAATGAAGATTCAAGCTTAATTGGTCAAAAGCACATCTTCACAATTTTTCTACCTCAGCCATAACTCAGTATTTTTTTGAACAGGGGTCAAGAAACAACTTTCAAACCTGTATACTCTGAAATAATGCTAGATGACACCTGTGTATTGGGATCCCATCTCCAACCTGGCCAACATTAGAACTAATTAATTAACCGAAGTAATCCTGCAGACTCGATTTGGGAGGGCTAAATCAGTGATTTCTGCAACTCAATTAAGTCAATGTGGTCCATGTCACCACATTTTCCCCAGATGAAATTTGTTCATTTAAAACTAAGCTGAACCATTAAATAACTACTAGGCTTACTGACAAAATCAAGGAGATATTAATTGCTGCCCTTACAACTGAGTCAAGAGCCTAAAATCTATGTTAGACTCTTCCCAGCAAAGGCTGCTGGAGAGTGGTGAAAGAGCAGAAAAAAGCTATTCCTCCTGTAAGAACCTATTTCCTCCTTATATATCATTAGGAAGAGATGCCTCACTTTAAACCGTCTTTGGTCCATGCCATCTGTGGGACAGTGCTGCCTCAGGAGGAAAAGGTGTAGCAAGCAACTGAGTTACAAACCACCTTCTAAGTAGAACCAAGAGAGCTGAGGATGCTGGATGTCTGTGGAACACATTTGTTACTTGTTTCATTAGGAGAGGGATTCAGCCCTTGCATTTTTGACTGAGAATAGTAAAAATGTCGTGCCTGCTTATGTAGTGATTTTTTTCCTCCTATTTGTATTTCATTTCCCTCTATTTTTTTTTTTGGTCTGTATATAATTCATGCCTTTTCCATCTTCACTACATTACTAATACTCTACTCTTACTAATACGTGTCCCAACTGCAGTGTTATCACTCTAATATAACCGACCTTTTAGGGAACTTACTACTGTGCTTAAGGTTAGGAAGGGAATGGAAACCTTGCCTTCGGTAGCTTCTAGAGGCATGATGTTGTTCCTGGCTCATAACAGTTTTTTTCAGCATAGAAAAAAGTAGAACCATAAAGTCCCATTTATTTCACCTTCTCTTTTTTAAGCCTCTGTACATTTCTTTTATCATTGCTGTAAGATAATTAGCTATTCATCATTTCTGCAGTTTACAATAGCAGCCTGCCTTACATAAATACTTTTAAATTTCAGAATAAGTGTACCATATTCTGAATAAAAGATTTTCATTATTATTAGTAGTATACCAATTTTCTGTGGTGGCAAGAGAAATAAGAAAGAGGACATCTGTGTGAGACAAGAGGATGGGGAAAACAAACACCATATGAAATACAGCTAAGTGGGTATAAGAAATTTATATGAGAGTGAACATATTTAAACCTGACATTGAGACTCCATTTAGGCACCCAAGTCTTTGCATACATCATCATGCCCACATACGCCTTCAGGAGATTATATACACACATCATAGTAGGGATGGAAAGGCTTTACAGGAGTATACTCAGGAGTATTGGCCTATGGCCTCTTGCCACTATAGAAATTCACAAGAATAACTCATTAAAAGTAATTCTCACATTCTCCTTGCAGGTTTTGTTCTGGTCATTGGATTGGTGACTTTCTACCGCATCGGACCATACACCAACCTCTCTTGGTCTTGCTATCTGAACATTGGAGCCTGTCTTTTGGCCACGCTGGCAGCTGCCATTCTCATTTGGAACATCCTTCACAGGCGTGAGGACTGCATGGCACCCCGGGTCATTGTCATTAGCCGTACCCTGACTGCGCGGTTTCGACGTGGCCTGGAAAATGACTATGTTGAGTCACCGTGCTGAAAGCAGGGACTTGAAAGGGGAAAGATCTCCAAGGAGATCTGCATTGAAGTTGTCTTCTATAAATATATGCTATAATTTAAAACTAAGGGTTGAAAGACATCACAAAGCTCACTCTCGTGGGCAGAGGCCCTCAATTATTACTTGGATGGGCTCCATCTATATACATATGTATAAAACACATAATTTTATATATATTATATTATATTGCCCTCTTCCTCTGCTGTACAGCACAGAATGTTGGATTGTCAGAATCCTGACAGGGCATCACTGCTACATGTCATCAGGGTCAGCTGTAGCAGATGTAGAGTGTATGCAATGAGAATACAGAAAAGAGGCAACCGAACATGTTTTCTCTGTCTGCATAAAGTTATCCTAATAATAATGTAAAAGTCTATAGGAGACCAGTGACAATAGCTTTGGAGTTAACAGGCAATCTAAGAAAGCAGAAAACTCACTATAGAATAAGTGATGATTTTAACAGCTATTTAAATTTCATGAATCTTTAGTCCTTCCATCCACCTCTCTTCAAGGAACTTCCCATAAGCTGCAGCACCTGCTCCACAGCCACAGCATAGCCCAGACAGTAAGAAGCAAAAGCAACTCGAACCATGCTAATTGCAAAGAATGAAGAAGAAATAAGAAATAAGAAAAAAGTTTTCAGACATTTCTTTTGTGTCCTGAGACAAAGATTTGAGTTTCTCCTGTTTGTAAACAGACATGCCATTAAAAATGAAGCGGGTACGCAGCTAGGACTGGCCATACACATTGCTGAAAGACCTACTTCAGTGTTATGAGGCCAAATATCTACACAAGAAGGACTCCCTAATAATCACAGATATATTAACTTGAATTACTGGAAATTATTATTAAGAACAGATATTTCAGGCTAAATTGTTTTCTTTTCTTCCCATCTAGCTTTAACATTTGCTGTGACATTTTCAGATTAGAGTGCTATGTCAGGACACGCAACTCTGCCCACGTAACACTGGAGGATGTAACTGCCTCCCAAGCACTCAAGTTGGAGAATAAGACACGTATACAGGACTTAAGCATGAGATTTAAAACAGACCTGCCTGGTAACTTAATATGGGAATGAAATGAGAATAATTAGTACCTATGGAATTAGGCATAATGTTTATCAGCCTGACCCTGAGAAGCACATGGGCTCACAGCAGTCATGTGCATGTAACATTCAGGAAGAAAAAAAAAAAAGGATGAAAATTATTATGCAGAAATACTTAGAATACAGGAACTAGAGGCAATGACAGATGTATAAAAAGTCTAAGGATGCTACTCTGAGCAGTTACAGAGAGGTTTGAAAGACCACGAGCTGTGAATGTTACACATTCTTTAGGACTGTTGTGTCGCTCCCAGCTGAGTACACTGCTTTTCTCCCTTATCTTTATTTCCACCATACTTTTCCACACTTTGTTAAATGTGATCATCAAGCTGGCTCTTGAGTTCTGTTCTGCACTCAGTTCTGATGTAATAAGAAACTCAACCCCAACTGCTGCTCTGCACCATGTTCAAAGTGAGCAACGCTCTGCAGAGACTGATACTCTGGAACAGTGTTCTAGTCTATTGGGGTAGAATGCCATAAAGCTGACAAGGAGTTTCTTCTAGCAGTAGGTTTGTAAAAACCAACTAAGATTTGTATTCATTTGCCTGCATTACTTTCTGGAAAATATTTTCTAGAAATAATATGCTACGATTAATTGCAGGGTTTTTGAAAAATAAAATAATGGAGTATTTAAAAGACATTATATTATTTCTTCTAATATTGCAATATCCATATTATAATAATGTACATTTAATTTTAAAAATCAGCTATGTGGTTGGTAAATTGTAATACTCGGTATTACTGTGATTATGTTAGATGTATAAATAAAGTTGTGAATGTTTAGTTTCTTCTAGTCATAACACAAGATTTTTGCAGAGACACAGAAGAAGGCTGCTAATTATCAAGTGTTTTTTCCTGCTTAGTAAAAAAGAACCCATAGAGTTTGCAACATCTTTTAGGCAAAGAATCATCAGAGAATATGTTAAAATGGTGTAAGATAAAGATGCTTCATCTTGTTAGAAACAAAAGGGAGAATGAAGTCAGAGAGGAAAAATATAAGGAGAATTTAGGAGGATCAAAACTTCCTACAAACATTTAACAAAAATAAACTGTACCCATAAAGAAATAACACACAAATACTTATGATACCTTTTAATCAGCTTGATGGATTTGAAGGCCTCATCCATGTCTCCAGCAGTCAGATAGAAACTGAAGTTTAGCATGGCATCCTGGGTGGGCTTATCACAGTCTCCCAATCCAATGAAATCTCTCATGGGTCTTCTCGCAACCATCTGAGAGACCTCTATTGAGCCAGACTCTGCTTGTCCTTTCTCAGGTTCTCCCACCTAAAATGAGAGTATTATGATTTAGGTGTCAAATAGGTTGAAAGTTACTCCTTTGTGTACATGTCATAAATTACATGATTTCCACGACAGTCCAAGTTTTCTATTTCTGCAGGACCATCATCCATACTGACAACAGTTGCAGTGTTTCACCACTTCCTGGAAAATGCCCCAAAATACTGAGTCTCACAGAAGAAACTGGCGCATCATAACAATCACAGTACTTCAGGGATAGCTTGGAGACTGGTAAAATACCACTGGAGAGACAGCCTCCTATTATTCTAGTCAGAATTATAATTATTTTTTATGTATGATTATTATTAATACAATAGCACCTGTTATTTTAACTTCCCAGAAGAGACATTATAATGAATAAGGAGAAAACCTGGAATGAAAGTTGATCAAAAGAAACTGGTTGCATCAACTGGATTTGCTGTATGTATTTAAAGCAGACTCTCTTCATATACTAAATCATGTTTCCAAAATGAATTATTTATAACAAGTAATTTAGTCACTAAGATACAGAAACCTAATGAGGGAAGAAAATGCAAACAGAAGAGAAAAGCAGAGAATGAAGGAAGAGGAGCAAAATAATGCAGGTACTTACAGGTTTATAGATACATCCCCTCCGAAAAAACAACTAATGGCAGCAATAATCCATGCAGAGTTAAAAAAAATAAATAAAAGAGACATAATATCAAAGAAAAATAGCACAAGACATGATGGGGGGAAGCGTTAAAAGAATAGAAAATGCAGCAGATCACCTTTGACTTTTCGAATTAAGAGAAAAAGGAAAGTAAAATGGACTGCAACTCTAAAAGCTAGATCTGCACAGGAAGAGTGACAAAAGTCAGTTCTTTGGAAGGGGGCTAAATTGCACAGTACTGCTCTGAATCTAAATATATTAAGCAGATAAACATCTAGACACATTCTTCCTGTTTAACACTGCTCTTAAACTACATGAAATTAGATTTATATGATCATATTGGTCTGTCTTATTCAGAAGATATAAAGAATTAGAAGTCTTGTTAAGTTCCTGCTGATTTTACAAAAATAAATGCCTTGGTAAGCTCCCCCTACTAGAAGGGAGCAGTGCAAATCATCATCCTAACAGGCACTAAGAAACTCAGGTCAGATCTTAACCAGAAACCCAGTTTGTAGGCTTCATTTCTTCCAGTATCCATGGAATTAAGCATGGTATTATTTACCTAAGTTGCAAACAATTTTAGATTCATATTTAAGTTTAATAAGTTAAAGCATGCATTCTTGATATTTGTAGCACATAGGCATTTGGTGATAAAGCAAAATGAGTATTCTTGCTCTCTCTGGTATTTTGTGGGGGTTAAGCTCCATTCCAAAAAGGAAATGGGTTGCTTCTGCTAAAGCCAGTAGGAAATGTCCCCACCTATGGCCTATGTAAAGTTGACACACGCATCCCCTCTTGCAGTAGGCACAGTGACTATATAAAGTAGAAGAGAATTTTTTCACCATCACTTTTCAGTTACATTTCCTGGTATTTACTGTGTCTCCTGTTCTTGTTCGTCACATCCAGTTTGCAATACCCATGAAAAAACAATTCAGTACAATTTCCACAATACTGCAAAGTACGCCTACAGTAGAGTTATCTTTATGTCATTTCTACATGTAATGCAGCAACTGCCATTGTAGTCTACTTACCCCATACTCCATTTGGTTAAATTTGATCCCTGTGAAGTCTGCACTTACGGGAAGGGAAGGAATTGTGAAAGATTTGCTCACCTTTTTTGCAAAGTAATAATGTGGCACCTCTATGCCCAGAAGAACCTGGTAGGATGAAGGCAATGGGAAACTGTCCTGAAGCAAAAGGCCATGCTCTTCAGTACTGAAGAATGATACAATCCAAACATCCATCTGGAAAAGGAAGCAAAGCTTTGTTTTGGTTTTATGCTGCAATATCCTTCTTTCATTTTGTTCTTATTTTCCATATTCACTTGGCAGAACCTCCTCTTGAAAATAATATGACATATACATTCACACACACACACACGGGCTGGAGAGGGCAGAGCTGCACACTTCCTCTCTAGAGCAAGTAGCCAACGACTCACTGTGCAATACAGACAGTGTTTCTACTGCAAAGAGACCTCCACCTCTGCCTTTCGGGAACCAGCTTCACTATCATGAAGAAGGAAGCCCGTGCCCACAGATTGCTGCTGTAGAAGTCTCTCTGACAGATCTGACTCAAGGCAAAGAAATAGTCCCAACTGTTTTCAACAATTTTTTTTTTTATTAATACTGTGTTATTTCTATCATAATCTTAGCAGTTCACTGACTGGTTTAAGATCCCAGGGAATATACCAGCCATTCAAAAAATTTCTTTAACAGCTTAAATATTGACCTGACTCAAGTCAAAATGATGTATTTACTTCCAACTGAAGTTAATCAGACTTCTCATTTCTTAAAGGATAAACACACAGTTAAAAGTCCTGTTGAATAAAGCCAAAAAGTAAGTAATGCTCCTTTCATATAATTTTATTTTTCAATATTATGTAGAAGCCAAATATTTTTTCTTGTTTATATTAAGATTATTAGGTTGATGTGTTCTTTTCTTCCTAGAAGAT